GATATAGTCAAACCGTGAAAAACTTATGGCTTGTTTGTTTGTGTTTAATATGCACTGCTGCACTCGGTTAAAAAAAAAGAGGGGAAAAAAACCCCGACTCGCTCCCAGAGCCGACACCAGGAAGTAGAGTTTTATAAAGATAGTCATACCGTGAAAAACTCTTGAATGGAGATAAAACAGACGTTTTGCACGGAGGAATCTGACTGATAAAAACTGTGGAGCTACAGTAACCAGGACAGATGTGGACAAATATGTCTGTGAGTGACATCTTTTTTTTCTGCAATGATTGTTGGCTGTTGTGGGGGGAAATTCCTTGCAGTGACGTATGGTTCAGTGGGAGCGGGGTTTCCCCGAGCTCGGCGCAGTGACTATGAAAACGACTGCCGATCGACCACGTGGCCGCGCGTCGACCCGTCGGCGTCGGAGCGAGTATGTTTCAGGCTTTAGTCACATGCAAAAGAGGGCCATCGCCTAACAATAGGCTTGATTGGCTGTATTCAGTCACATGCAAAAGAGGCCAGTGACCTTTATTCTCTAAGCATGATGTCCCAGTGGCTTTCAAACCCCAAAACACGTTACGAAAAAATATTAGTTCACCCCAAAGAGTCAGTTCCCCGGCAAAAACAAAGTAATATAGTATATGCTGTTAAGTGTCAGGAGGACTGTGATCAGTCATACATCGGGGAAACAAAACAGCCACTGYTCAAAAGAATGAGCCAGCACTGACGAGCTACATCGTCGGGTCAGGACTCTGCAGTTTACACACATCTACAGGTCAGCGGTCACTCTTTCAGGGATGAAGATGTTCTCATCCTTGATAGAAAGAAACATCAGTTTGAGAGAGGAGTAAAGGAAGCCATCTTTGTGAAGAAAAACCGTCCACCATTAAACAGAGGTGGAGGCCTTCGTGTCCAGTTGTCCTCCTCCTACAACGCTGTTATTGCATGTATGACTCCGCCCCCTGTGAGCAAAAGGTGTGAATCAGGGCCCCAATGACACCAACACAAAGAGGGAAAGAGAGACAAAAACAAAGGGACGTCGAGCCCTGCCTGCATTCACTACATACACATAACACGACACGGGTCAGGTGATGGGGCACATGACCCTTTATGAACAATAGAGCTAATCAAGCCTATTGTAAGGGATGGCCCTATTTTGCATGTGACTAACCTGTTTGTCCATGTGGAGGCAGTGCTTATAAGGCTGAGTTTCAACTGAAACTCATCAGACTGAAGAAGTCTCTTGGAGGAGAGACGAAATGTTTCACTAAAGAAGAACCCATCCAGAGGACCTATTTATTATTTTTTTTTCTACCTGGATTGCTGAGATGCATCAGGACATCTTTTTGACAGTTGTTTCTACTTTTTAAAAGCAATTTGCATGAGATCAACAGCAGATCTGACTAACAGCGTTTGGG